TTATTGCCGAATACTTTAAAATTTTCTGTTATGAAAGCATCAAAATATTGAATCGATTTGCTTTTTCTGATTCTCCGTCACATGTTGCAATAATTACTGAATTCATTTTTCTCTATTGCAATACTTACTAGATTATTGCTTAATTTTTTTAAAATTTTCTATTATCAAAGCATCAAAATAATGAATCGATTTGCTTTTTCTGATTCTCCATCACATGTTGCAATAATTACTGAATTCATTTTTCTCTATTGCAATACTTACTAGTTTATTGCCGAATCCCTTAAAATTTTCTGTTATGAAAGCATCAAAATATTGAATCGATTTGTTTTTTCTGATTCTCCGTCACATGTTGCAATAATTACTGAATTCATTTTTCTCTATTGCAATACTTACTAGATTATTGCTTAATTTTTTAAAAATTTTCTATTATCAAAGCATGAAAATAATATATCGATTTGCTTTTTCTGATTCTCCATCACATGTTGCAATAATTACTGAATTCATTTTTCTCTATTTCAATACTTACTAGTTTATTGCCGAATACTTAAAAATTTTCTGTTATGAAAGCATCAAAATATTGAATCGATTTGCTTTTTCTGATTTTCCATCACATGTTGCAATAATTACTGAATTCATTTTTCTCTAATACAATACTTACTAGATTATTGCTTAATTATTTTAAAATTTTCTATTATCAAAGCATCAAAATAATGAATCGATTTGCTTTTTCTGATTCTCCATCACATGTTGCAATAATTACTAAATTCATTTTTCTCTATTGCAATACTTACTATTTTATTGCCGAATACTTTAAAATTTTCTGCTATCAAAGCATCACAATATTGAGTCGATTTGCTTTTTCTGATTCTCCATCACATGTTGAAATAATTACTGAATTCATTTTTCTCTATTGCAATACTTACTAGTTTATTGCCGAATACTTTAAAATTTTCTGTTATGAAAGCATCAAAATATTGAATCGATTTGCTTTTTCTGATTCTCCGTCACATGTTGCAATAATTACTGAATTCATTTTTCTCTATTGCAATACTTACTATTTTATTGCCGAATACTTTAAAATTTTCTGTTATGAAAGCATCAAAATATTGAATCGATTTGCTTTTTCTGATTCTCCGTCACATGTTGCAATAATTACTGAATTCATTTTTCTCTATTGCAATACTTACTAGTTTATTGCCGAATACTTTAAAATTTTCTGTTATGAAAGCATCAAAATATTAATCGATTTGCTTTTTCTGATTCTATATCACATGTTGTAATAATTACTGAATTCATTTTTCTCTATTGCAATACTTACTAGTTTATTGCCGAATACTTTAAAATTTTCTGTTATGAAAGCATCAAAATATTGAATCGATTTGCTTTTTCTGATTCTCCGTCACATGTTGTAATAATTACTGAATTCGTTTTTCTCTATTGCAATACTTACTAGATTATTGCTTAATTTTTAAAAAATTTTCTATTATCAAAGCATCAAAATAATGAATCGATTTGCTTTTTCTGATTCTCCATCACATGTTGCAATAATTACTGAATTCATTTTTCTCTATTGCAATACTTACTAGTTTATTGCCAAATACTTTAAAATTTTATGTTATGAAAGCATCAAAATATTGAATCGATTTGCTTTTTCTGATTCTCCGTCACATGTTGCAATAATTACTGAATTCATTTTTCTCTATTGCAATACTTACTAGTTTATTGCCAAATATTTTAAAATTTTCTGTTATGAAAGCATCAAAATATTGAATCGATTTGCTTTTTCTGATTCTATATCACATGTTGTAATAATTACTGAATTCATTTTTCTCTATTGCAATACTTACTAGTTTATTGCCGAATACTTTAAAATTTTCTGTTATGAAAGCATCAAAATATTGAATCGATTTGCTTTTTCTGATTCTCCGTCACATGTTGCAATAATTACTGAATTCGTTTTTCTCTATTGCAATACTTACTAGTTTATTGCCGAATACTTTAAAATTTTCTGTTATGAAAGCATCAAAATATTGAATCGATTTGCTTTTTCTGATTCTCCGTCACATGTTGCAATAATTACTGAATTCGTTTTTCTCTATTGCAATACTTACTAGTTTATTGCCGAATACTTTAAAATTTTCTGTTATGAAAGAATCAAAATATTGAATCGATTTGCTTTTTCTGATTCTATATCACATGTTGTAATAATTACTGAATTCATTTTCCTCTATTGCAATACTTACTAGTTTATTGCCGAATACTTTAAAATTTTCTGTTATGAAAGCATCAAAATAATGAGTCGATTTGTTTTTTCTGATTCTCCATCACATGTTGAAATAATTACTGAATTCATTTTTCTCTATTGCAATACTTACTAGTTTATTGCCGAATACTTTAAAATTTTCTGTTATGAAAGCATCAAAATAATGAGTCGATTTGCTTTTTCTGATTCTCCATCACATGTTGCAATAATTACTGAATTCATTTTTCTCTATTGCAATACATACTAGATTATTCCCTAATATTTTAAAATTTCTGCTATCAAAGCATCACAATATTGAGTCGATTTGCTTTTTCTGATTCTCCATCATATGTTGCAATAATTACTGAATTCATTTTTCTCTATTTAATATTTACTAGTTTATTACCAAATATTTAAAAATTTTCTGTTATCAAAGCATCAAAATATTGAGTCGATTTGCTTTTTTCTGATTGTCCATCATATGCTGCAATAATTACTAAATTCATTTTTCTCTATTGCAATACTCACTAGTTTTTTTGCCGAATACTTTAAAATTTTCTGTTATGAAAGCATCAAAATATTGAGTCGATTTGCTTTTTCTGATTCTCCATCACATGTTGCAATAATTACTGAATTCATTTTTCTCTATTGCAATACTTACTAGTTTATTGCCGAATACTTTAAAATTTTCTGTTATCAAAGCATCACAATATTGAGTCGATTTGCTTTTTTCTGATTCTCCATCACATGTTGAAATAATTACTGAATTCATTTTTCTCTATTGCAATACTTACTAGTTTATTGCCGAATACTTTAAAATTTTCTGTTATGAAAGCATCAAAATATTGAATCGATTTGCTTTTTCTGATTCTCCGTCACATGTTGCAATAATTACTGAATTCATTTTTCTCTATTGCAATACTTACTAGATTATTGCTTAATTTTTTTAAAATTTTCTATTATCAAAGCATCAAAATAATGAATCGATTTGCTTTTTCTGATTCTCCATCACATGTTGCAATAATTACTGAATTCATTTTTCTCTATTGCAATACTTACTAGTTTATTGCCGAATCCCTTAAAATTTTCTGTTATGAAAGCATCAAAATATTGAATCGATTTGTTTTTTCTTATTCTCCGTCACATGTTGCAATAATTACTGAATTCATTTTTCTCTATTGCAATACTTACTAGATTATTGCTTAATTTTTTAAAAATTTTCTATTATCAAAGCATCAAAATAATGAATCGATTTGCTTTTTCTGATTCTCCATCACATGTTGCAATAATTACTAAATTCATTTTTCTCTATTGCAATACTTACTAGTTTATTGCCGAATACTTTAAAATTTTCTGTTATGAAAGCATCAAAATATTGAATCGATTTGCTTTTTCTGATTCTCCGTCACATGTTGCAATAATTACTGAATTCATTTTTCTCTATTGCAATACTTACTAGTTTATTGCCGAATACTTTAAAATTTTCTGTTATGAAAGCATCAAAATATTGAATCGATTTGCTTTTTCTGATTCTATATCACATGTTGTAATAATTACTGTAAAGTTAGAATTTTCCAGCCGGGGTCAGAGCTTCAGTCTGCCCAGGGCCACAACTTACAAGACATTTGTAAATTACTACGGGACTACGAGTTAGAGAAACGGGAGAGGATGGGGGAGTTATTACGTATTAAATGGCCACTCAGCCCGAACTCGCCGACCACGCCCCCACACGTTTGCACGTGGGATGGCTGCAGCGATCGAGTGGCGCGGCTAAACGCACTCCAGATTGCTGGGGTCGGGGCTACAAAGGCGTATTGCGGGATGTTAGTGGGGCTATTCTACTACAAATGGTGGACCGCGGATCGAGGAACGCCCAGCGTTGACGCCGGCGTTCACTCCAGACCACGCGGTTTTGTGTGCCAGAGTTTTGGCCGTCTGGCGCACAGGATTGCCCTCGTGCTAACCACCGGTTAGTAATGTTAAGATTATTGGTGGGTTATTATTACCAAATCAACTACGAATGAGAACACAATCATTTCTAAATACGTTAACATTTTATTCCATATTACCTCGTGTTTCCTACCCCTCGCCTATCCGTTTATTATTTTCTTTAACGCCGACCGTTCGCGTTGAGTGCTCAAAACCAATTAAAATCTGCGCGCAGCTTTCAAGCCTTTCCTTGCGCTCTGCAGATTTCACCACGCGACCAGCAATGCAATTCACCACCGCGAGCTTTCGAGCTGCATGGTTGCATTGCTGATCGCGTGCCCGCCCACTCATTTGAATTTTGCTTACTATCTAAAGCTAACGACTATGATACCTTTATCTACTTACTTATCTAACAAAACAATCGATAATTCAAATATAAACTTAACGACTATAATCCAATTCATTTCTTTTTCCATTCACTATCTTACATACTACGAAATATAACCTACTAACCAACTTACTTGCTACAAAATATGGCCTACTACCAACCTACTCACTACAAATATATCTTACTACTAACTTACTCACTACAAATATATCTTAATGCTAACTTACTCACTACAAATATATCTTAATGCTAACTTACTCACTACAAATTTCAGTAACCTCGACCGCTATAATGCCAAAAATGTAAGGTGGGCAAAAGGCCACCTTACACCCCCCCCTTACTTCGACGGAGCGACTGTTACGCCCCCCGATGAATTGATGGTCACTGTGTATGACCGTTCCCCCCGCCGCAACTCGGAAACGGGTTCTCCTGTGCGGCCATCTACGTGTTTCCACCTCCCGCCTCAGGAGTTGGATTACCTCCCTCGCTCAGCTCGACGCCAGCAGGGCGTATCCTCCAGTTGACGGGGATCAGCGGCAACATCCTCAACGCTTCCACGTCCTCTGCGTCCAGCGCGTCCTCAAGGCTCACCTCCCATCCGTCCAACAGCTCCGCCATGTCTGCCAATAGACGCCTCTCCTCCTCCGTCGACTCGTCTCGACGTTGGTCGCGTTTTCGGCCGCTCCCAACCTGGCTGCGCTCTCTGCGCTGCCGACGCGCGGATGGGCCCTCGGCGCCGTCCGTTAGATTTCTTCGACTGGCCGGGGCGCGGGTGTCCGGTTCGCGCGCGGGCACTGGTCGTCCTCTTCGTCGTCGCCGACGACGCTTGCGCCTGGACGCCTGGCCTTGATCTGTCGGGCGCTCTGCGCTGGACTGCGACGAGCATGACAGGCGCCGGTTTTCGACCGTGCCCGGCGTATATCGCAACGTGACCCTGGCGGCTGGTTCCGGCGGCTGGTCCCTCTCAACGTCGTCGTCAGTTCGGCGTTGGGGAACAGGATCTGTGGCGGTGTCCTCCTCGGGATTCGCATCTTCCACTCGGACGCTCAGCTGCTCTGCTTCCGCTCCGTCCCGCGCCGCGGTCTCCGGGATGGGGTCCTCGACGGAGGGACAATGCTCCCTGCCGCCTTCCCACCCCCGTGACGGGGATCCATCATCTAGCCTTCGAGGAATGGGGCTTGCAACGCCGCCTTCCTCGGGACTCGCCTCCTCGGCCTCGAACTCTTCGCCGAAACTTATGGACACCTCACTGTGCCCTTCCTCCACTTCGTCCCGCGCCGCGGTCTCCGGGGTGGGGTCCTCGACGGAGGGACAATGCTCCCTGCCGCCTTCCCACCCCCGTGACGGGGAACTGCTGTCCATTTCTGGTGGAAACTCCTCATCTTCGCTCGCCGTCCACGGCGTCGGCGTCGCCCACCTTGACGGGGCTCCATCCTCTGTACATCTCCGCGCGCCGGACTTCGGGCTGCCCGGTGGGCGGGGCGGAGATGGCGGCTCCTCCACGAGTGGTGGCGTGGTGCCCCCCCTAGGCACCTGGATATACACCGTCGTGTATCTGGCCTGCACCAGTTGGATAAGGCCGTCCATCCTGGTCGCCACGTTCACCGTCGAGCGGAGGACCGTATGTACACGCCGGGGCGGCGCCCGCTCCTCTTGGCGACGATAGTATTCCCTACCGAGCCTCGGGTCCCTCGGCCTCGGCCGACTCCGCGCCCTCTCCTCTGGAGAACGGCTCCGTGCTGTCGCTGCTTGCGTCTTCGACTCGGACTGAGCCTTCGTCGTCGCTACTTATCTCGATGACGTCCTCCATACTGTTACTTCCCTGTAAGTTCAGATTCTTTAGTCTTCTGTTTTTATTCGTGTTAATGACCGAAATGGCCCTCTAACTACTGCATTAGTGTTAGCGTTAATAAGGGGCTCTACGGGGAAGTTAGTAGTTGATGAGATGTGTAGATTTGTCAGGGCCTTTGGTTGTCTTCGTCGGGTACAGCGGGGCTCGTTCCTCGTCCCCCGTTTCCCCGGTCTCATTTTCCGGTATCGTGTCGCTTTCTTCGTCTTCTTGATGGAATGGCTTCAACTGCGCAATGTTGGCCACCCTTCTCTTACGTTCGCCCTCCTTCGCCAGGCGCACCACGTTGGGAGACAGGAACTTAACGACCTTGTAAGGGCCGTCGAATTTGGGCGCTAGTTTCGCCGCGAATCCGTCCGCCGCGTTCGACAATTGATGTTGTCGCAACAGCACCGCCGAACCCAACGTTGGTCTCCAGTCACGCCGTCTCAAGTTATAGTGCCTGCCTTGATCCTTTGATGCTCGCTGTAAGTTACTGCGCACTATGTCGAAAATCTCCTTCATTTTGACTCCTCTGGCCTCGGCTCGGGTCTCTGTGGTCGCCGAACCGGGAGTGACTTCGTCGTATAAAGCGGCGGGTAGGCGTGGCTCCCGCCCTAACATCAGGAATGCTGGAGTGAAGCCCGTGGAGTCGGCCACGCTCGAGTTGACTGCTAGCGTTATCTCCGGCAACAGCTCGTCCCATGAGCTCTGGTGGCCTTCGATGTACTGAGCTATCATAGTCTTCACCGTGCGATTTGTTCTCTCCGTCGGGTTCTCCTGCGGTGTATAAGGCGCTGTGTGCTGGAGTGTCACCCCCAAGGATTCCATAAACGCCTTGAAACTTCTGCTTGTGAATTGTACGCCGTTGTCGCAAACGAACGTCCTGGGCACTCCAAATCGGCTGATTATGCGTTCCCGGAACGCCAGTTGCAGCTGAGCGGTAGTCGCTTTCCTCAACGGCACCAGCTCCACCCATTTGGCAAAAGCGTCGTGGAACACCAACAACATTGTGTTCCCACGTTTGGAACGAGGTAAAGGTCCCACGAAGTCTGCGCACAAGACCGCCATTGGCTCCGCCACCTGTCTGGTGAGCATATGCCCGGCTGGCTTTTGTTGCACGCATTTAAATCTTTGGCACGTCTCGCAACACTTCACGTATTTGGCTGCATCTCTGCTTTCATAACATAAAATTTTAAAGTATTTGGCAATAAACTAGTAAGTATTGCCAAATACTTTAAAATTTTCTGTTATGAAAGAATCAAAATATTGAATCGATTTGCTTTTTCTGATTCTATATCACATGTTGTAATAATTACTGAATTCATTTTTCTCTATTGCAATACTTACTAGTTTATTGCCGAATACTTTAAAATTTTCTGTTATGAAAGCATCAAAATAATGAGTCGATTTGTTTTTTCTGATTCTCCATCACATGTTGAAATAATTACTGAATTCATTTTTTCTCTATTGCAATACTTACTAGTTTATTGCCGAATACTTTAAAATTTTCTGTTATGAAAGCATCAAAATAATGAGTCGATTTGCTTTTTCTGATTCTCCATCACATGTTGCAATAATTACTGAATTCATTTTTTCTCTATTGCAATACATACTAGATTATTCCCTAATATTTTAAAATTTCTGCTATCAAAGCATCACAATATTGAGTCGATTTGCTTTTTCTGATTCTCCATCATATGTTGCAATAATTACTGAATTCATTTTTTCTCTATTTAATATTTACTAGTTTATTACCAAATATTTAAAAATTTTCTGTTATCAAAGCATCAAAATATTGAGTCGATTTGCTTTTTTCTGATTGTCCATCATATGCTGCAATAATTACTAAATTCATTTTTCTCTATTGCAATACTCACTAGTTTTTTGCCGAATACTTTAAAATTTTCTGTTATGAAAGCATCAAAATATTGAGTCGATTTGCTTTTTCTGATTCTCCATCACATGTTGCAATAATTACTGAATTCATTTTTCTCTATTGCAATACTTACTAGTTTATTGCCGAATACTTTAAAATTTTCTGTTATCAAAGCATCACAATATTGAGTCGATTTGCTTTTTCTGATTCTCCATCACATGTTGAAATAATTACTGAATTCATTTTTCTCTATTGCAATACTTACTAGTTTATTGCCGAATACTTTAAAATTTTCTGTTATGAAAGCATCAAAATATTGAATCGATTTGCTTTTTCTGATTCTCCGTCACATGTTGCAATAATTACTGAATTCATTTTTCTCTATTGCAATACTTACTAGATTATTGCTTAATTTTTTTTAAAATTTTCTATTATCAAAGCATCAAAATAATGAATCGATTTGCTTTTTCTGATTCTCCATCACATGTTGCAATAATTACTGAATTCATTTTTTCTCTATTGCAATACTTACTAGTTTATTGCCGAATCCCTTAAAATTTTCTGTTATGAAAGCATCAAAATATTGAATCGATTTGTTTTTTCTTATTCTCCGTCACATGTTGCAATAATTACTGAATTCATTTTTCTCTATTGCAATACTTACTAGATTATTGCTTAATTTTTTAAAAATTTTCTATTATCAAAGCATCAAAATAATGAATCGATTTGCTTTTTCTGATTCTCCATCACATGTTGCAATAATTACTAAATTCATTTTTCTCTATTGCAATACTTACTAGTTTATTGCCGAATACTTTAAAATTTTCTGTTATGAAAGCATCAAAATATTGAATCGATTTGCTTTTTCTGATTCTATATCACATGTTGTAATAATTACTGTAAAGTTAGAATTTTCCAGCCGGGGTCAGAGCTTCAGTCTGCCCAGGGCCACAACTTACAAAACATTTGTAAATTACTACGGGACTACGAGTTAGAGAAACGGGAGAGGATGGGGGAGTTATTACGTATTAAATGGCCACTCAGCCCGAACTCGCCGACCACGCCCCAGATTGCTGGGGTCGGGGCTACAAAGGCGTATTGCGGGATGTTAGTGGGGCTATTCTACTACAAATGGTGGACCGCAGATCGAGGAACGCCCAGCGTTGACGCCGGCGTTCACTCCAGACCACGCGGTTTTGTGTGCCAGAGTTTTGGCCGTCTGGCGCACAGGATTGCCCTCGTGCTAACCACCGGTTAGTAATGTTAAGATTATTGGTGGGTTATTATTACCAAATCAACTACGAATGAGAACACAATCATTTCTAAATACGTTAACATTTTATTCCATATTACCTCGTGTTTCCTACCCCTCGCCTATCCGTTTATTATTTTCTTTAACGCCGACCGTTCGCGTTGAGTGCTCAAAACCAATTAAAATCTGCGCGCAGCTTTCAAGCCTTTCCTTGCGCTCTGCAGATTTCACCACGCGACCAGCAATGCAATTCACCACCGCGAGCTTTCGAGCTGCATGGTTGCATTGCTGATCGCGTGCCCGCCCACTCATTTGAATTTTGCTTACTATCTAAAGCTAACGACTATGATACCTTTATCTACTTACTTATCTAACAAAACAATCGATAATTCAAATATAAACTTAACGACTATAATCCAATTCATTTCTTTTTCCATTCACTATCTTACATACTACGAAATATAACCTACTAACCAACTTACTTGCTACAAAATATGGCCTACTACCAACCTACTCACTACAAATATATCTTACTACTAACTTACTCACTACAAATATATCTTAATGCTAACTTACTCACTACAAATATATCTTAATGCTAACTTACTCACTACAAATTTCAGTAACCTCGACCGCTATAATGCCAAAAATGTAAGGTGGGCAAAGGCCACCTTACACCCCCCTTACTTCGACGGAGCGACTGTTACGCCCCCGATGAATTGATGGTCACTGTGTATGACCGTTCCCCCGCCGCAACTCGGAAACGGGTTCTCCTGTGCGGCCATCTACGTGTTTCCACCTCCCGCCTCAGGAGTTGGATTACCTCCTCGCTCAGCTCGACGCCAGCAGGGCGTATCCTCCAGTTGACGGGGATCAGCGGCAACATCCTCAACGCTTCCACGTCCTCTGCGTCCAGCGCGTCCTCAAGGCTCACCTCCCATCCGTCCAACAGCTCCGCCATGTCTGCCAATAGACGCCTCTCCTCCTCCGTCGACTCGTCTCGACGTTGGTCGCGTTTTCGGCCGCTCCCAACCTGGCTGCGCTCTCTGCGCTGCCGACGCGCGGATGGGCCCTCGGCGCCGTCCGTTAGATTTCTTCGACTGGCCGGGGCGCGGGTGTCCGGTTCGCGCGCGGGCACTGGTCGTCCTCTTCGTCGTCGCCGACGACGCTTGCGCCTGGACGCCTGGCCTTGATCTGTCGGGCGCTCTGCGCTGGACTGCGACGAGCATGACAGGCGCCGGTTTTCGACCGTGCCCGGCGTATATCGCAACGTGACCCTGGCGGCTGGTTCCGGCGGCTGGTCCCTCTCAACGTCGTCGTCAGTTCGGCGTTGGGGAACAGGATCTGTGGCGGTGTCCTCCTCGGGATTCGCATCTTCCACTCGGACGCTCAGCTGCTCTGCTTCCGCTCCGTCCCGCGCCGCGGTCTCCGGGATGGGGTCCTCGACGGAGGGACAATGCTCCCTGCCGCCTTCCCACCCCCGTGACGGGGATCCATCATCTAGCCTTCGAGGAATGGGGCTTGCAACGCCGCCTTCCTCGGGACTCGCCTCCTCGGCCTCGAACTCTTCGCCGAAACTTATGGACACCTCACTGTGCCCTTCCTCCACTTCGTCCCGCGCCGCGGTC